CAGGGATGATCCCAAGGTCCTCAAGAATAAGGATTCACCCCAAACCCCCGAAAAAAAACTGCAAGTGGGATTTAAATTAATGGGCAAGGAGGACAGGGAAAAAAAGCAGGAAAGAAGAATTTCCCATTTCCCACAGAGGCACCAGGGATGATCCCAAGGTCCTCCAGGATGACCACGAGTCTTAAAGATTCACCCCAAACCCCTGGAAAAAAAAACTGCAGGTGGGATTTAAATTAATGGGCAAGGAGGATAGGGGAAAAAAGCAGGAAAGAAGAATTTCCCATTTCCCACAGAGGCACCAGGGATGATCCCAAGGTCCTCCAGGATAAGGATTCACCCCAAACCCCTGGAAAAAAACTGCAAGTGGGATTTAAATTAATGGGCAAGGAGGATAGGGGAAAAAAGCAGGAAAGAAGAATTTCCCACAGAGGAACCAGGGACAATCCCAAGGTCCTCCAGGATGACCACAAGTCTTAAAGATTCACCCCAAACCCCTGGAAAAAAAACTGCAGGTGGGATTTACATTCCTGAGCAAGGAGGATAGGGAAAAAAAGCAGGAAAGAAGAATTTCCCATTTCCCACAGAGGCACCAGGGATAATCCCAAGGTCCTCCAGGATAAGGATTCACCCCAAACTCCTGGAAAAAAACTGCAAGTGGGATTTAAATTAATGGGCAAGGAGGACAGGGAAAAAAAGCAGAAAAGAAGAATTTCCCATTTCCCACAGAGGCACCAGGGATGATCCCAAGGTCCTCCAGGATGACCACAAGTCTTAAAGAATTCACCCCAAACCCCTGGAAAACAAGAGCAGGTGGATTTAAATTCCTGAGCAAGTAGGATAGGGAAAACAAAGCAGGAAAAGAGGTGCTGAAAATGAAAATTGAGGAGGTTTTAAGGGATGAGGGCAAAGGCACAGGTTGTGTCCCTGCTGCCAGCAGCTCCAGCTCCCTGACAGCACTCGGGAGAGGGAATTCCTGTCCCGAGGCCACGGGATGGAAACCCACATTCCAAAAGCAGCTCGCAGCTCCCTGCTCCATAATTAACAGGGTGCAGAAGCACAAAGCAAGAGCCACAAGCGGGAGTTGGGGTGTCAGGGACAAGGATGGGAACGCATTTCGGCTTTGGCTGGGAAAGGCCGAGGCTCAACCACCTGAACCCAAATTCAATATAGCTAAAACAGCATGAAAACCGCAATGAAATAATAAATAAAGCAGGATAAAACTTCAGAAGTACGATTTTGGTGAAGGAAGACCACAAAGTCTACAAGACACCGACCCAATAAACCAGCCGATATCCCAAAAACCCAAAAAATATTTGGCAAGGGAGACCCCCGGCTCCATCGGGGCAGCACCGGGGAAACACCGAACTTCGGGGATGCGCAGCCCCGGGCACGGGGGGGCACCGGGACCCACGAGGGGCCGCTCTCCGGTGCCTGCCCAGCCCCGGTGCCTCCCGGCCGGGCGCGGCTGCCGCCTCCCGCAGCCCCGGGGGCAGCCCCGGCCCCAACGCCGCTGTCAGCGGGCCCGGCCGCCAGCGGGGATCCCCCGCCCCTCGCCGCGGCGCCTGTCAGGGATCCCCGGTGCCTCCCGGTGCCTCCCGGTGCCTGCTACTTCGGCACGGACCCCCCGGGCCAGCCCCGAGCTGCGCGGTGCCCCCGCGCCGCTCCCGCTCCGCCGGCCCGGGCCCTGCCGGGGATCCCCCCCCGCCGCCCCCAGGGATGCCCCGCCGCCGCCGGGGATCCCCAGCGGCCGCCGCGGCGGCCGGAGCGGGGCTGCGGCGCGGGGCCGCGGGGGGGCACGGCGGAGATGCGGCCGCGCTGCGAGGCGGCCCCGCGGCGGATCCCGGCGCGCCTCCCCC